CCCCATGACCGTGGCCTTGGACGCGCCCAAACCCCCTCCCCATGACTGTAGTCTTGGACGCGCCCAAGCCTCTTCTCATTACTGTGGTTACGGCCACAGTCTAGGCTTTGCTCATGACTTTGATTCTGGGCTTGAGCCTGACCAGGACAGAGACCCCTCCTCACATTTCCCAGTGCATCTGCCAGTGACGCAGACACACCCAGGTCATCCCCTCTTGCAGGCAGAGGAGGCTAGGAAACCAGCTCAGAAGAAAGACAACGACGTCCCCCTCCCCCTGTGATTAAAAGGCACAATGCGAAGGTGTGTGAGGGTTCTATGGGCAGCTATGTTAACTTCCCAAGGATGTGGGCTCTTGGGGCCCCTGAACAGACGCGGGGCCATTGGAGGAAGAACCTATTCTACCTGACGGATGAGAACACAGGGGCCACTGTGAGAAGACCCTGATGGAGGCCTGGAGTGGAAGGGCGTGGCGGTCCCTGAGCCCTTGGCCATGCTCGGCTGCAGCCAGGGCCACCCCGGTGCCAGGCAGGTGGTCTGTGAGGTGCCTTCTGGGGACCTCCTGCTACGTGAGGGTCGGTCTCCCTGTGGGGTTCGCGTCTGACGGTGAAAGCGGGCGATCTTGAGGCAAAGTGGGGTCTTACTTCTGGTGCACGATGTAGGTGACGACAGAGGTGAGGAGGCAGAGCAGCATGACAGCAGTGCACGCGTACACCACGGGGTGCAGGAACTCCCCCGGGTGCTGGGGCAGGGAGAGGACGGTCTTCAAATCCTGGGAAGAACACAGCAGACCGTGTGAGCAGGAACCATGCACCTGGCTGCGCTGCCTGGAGCCCCACGTCCGGCCCCTCCCCTGCAAGCTGTCGGGTGTCTGCGGAGTCCAGCAGAGGTCTGTGACGGGCGCCCTGCCTCCTGGGAGTGCACCTGTCTGAGGGCCCCAGACGCCACGAGGTCTGCACGGAGCCGTGCAGCGAGCCAGCGACCATAGCAAATGCCCCCAGCCCCACTTCCCGGCCCCAGGCACACTGAGATTCTGCTCTACAGCATCTCCCAGGAGAATTCCAGGTCACGTCCCTGGAGCCGACTCCAGTCCTGCAGAGAGAGCAGTCGCTCTGATGGGATGCGCGGCCCCGAGGCCCTCTGGGGAGCATCGCAGCCAGGGGCAAAGGCCAGAGGTCAAGGGGGAACGCGTTTCCCACGGGGACGTGAAGCTGAGGGGCCAGGCTCCCGGCTGGACGCGTGAACTGAGGGAGGTTTGTCTTTTTGTCCATCAGACCGGTGAGGGGAGCTCCCGTGGTGTCGGCATACGCATCCTCGAGATTCACCTGTGCTGGGACCGGGTTCCCGAGCCGCCAACAGAAAAGGTGGCAGCAGAACCCAGCGCCACGCGGGCGGGACTCGCACAGCCCGCCGGGCACCCAGCAACCAAGTCTGGTGATTTCTGCACGCTGGAGGAGAGGGCCCCAAGGGTAAGACCCTCCCCTGCTGTGTGGGCGGCAGAGGCACCGACGGGAGCCCTGGCCTTAGGCACCTCTGACCTCTGACCTCTGATAGGCACTGAGCAATGTTCCAGAACCTTCATGTGTTGTAACTCGCTGAGTCACAGGGAAACCCTGCTGTGGACTGAAACCTATCCCTACAATTCAGGGGTTGGAGTCCTTGTGCCCCACGTGACTGCAGTGGGGGCGGGCCTTTATGCGGGTGACTAAGGTCACAAGAGGTCATAGGGTGAGGCCTGGTTCGATAGGACCCACCTCCTTATAAGAGGGAGACTAGGACACAACATGGTTGTGCACAGAGGGAAGGCCATTGGGGGACACGGCGAGAAGGCAGCGAGAAGGCAGCTGTCCACATGTCCAGGAGGGTGTCCTCGGGAGAAACAACCCTGTGACACCTTGACCTTGGGCTTCCAGGCTCCGGGACTGAGAGACAGTTCTGTATTTTAACCTGCTCTGCCTGGGGTGCTGGTTACGGCCCCCTCTTTCCCCACTCCGCTCCCAGGTGCTGGTTATGGCTCTCCCCCACCTACCGGGTGCTGCTTCCAGCCCCCTGACCCCAGGAGATGGTTATGGCTCTCCCCCACCTTCCAGGTGCTGCTTCCAGCCACCCCCGATCCCAGGAGCTGGTTATGGCTCTCCCCCACCTTCCGAGTGCTGCTTCCAGCCCCCCCCCCACACCAGGTACCGGTTGTGGTCACCATAGCCAATAGATACACCCCATTAGGTGACTGCTCTTGTTCCCACTTTCCAGGTCAGAGGGTGAAACCCTTTCTTGACCTCTCAGCTCATGCTCTGAGCCACTCGCTCTGCTCCCACAGCCGCCAGGACCTGCCCGGCTTGGGGAGGGCGGGTGGGGGCTGGTGCCCACAGAGGGCTGCCTGGGTGTCCCCTGTGAGACCACACTGAGCTGCCCGGCTGTGACACCAGGCTGGTGGTCTGGGGGATCATCTGCAGCCTTGTCAGCTGTGCCCAAGGCGGATGCACCCCCTCCCCCCGGTGGACACGGGCTCTGGGTCTGTGATGGGCTCCTCCCTGGGCGGTCGGGACAGCGGGAAGCCGCCGGTGCTCCTCCAGGATGGTGTCAGCCTGAGTCATGTGGGAAAAGGACAGAAATGCCCTTGAAGGGCCCTTGGCCTCGCCACGGATGGGAAGGCAGTGTGTCCAAGAGCTCAAGCTGCTTCCTTTCTTGGTGGATCAGTTCTTATCAGTCCAGCTAAGACGAGGCCCTGGCCAGTCAGGGAATGTCGGATTCCTCAGAGGGACTTCCAGGGACAGCCAAGGGCCACCCTGGTGTCCAGCCGTGGCCTCTGCACCCTGATCTTGCTCTGCCCAGGGACTTTCCAAGGAGACCTCTCTGCTGTCATGTCAACAGCAGATAGAATCCTGTCACCAAGGAAAAGGTGCCGAGTGACCTGGACGCCAAGGGACTCCTCCCAGTGTCATCGCTGAAGGACTAGCTGGCTATCAAAGCCAGAAGTATCACCCCTGACCCAGCAGCTGGCCAGATGTAACCAAAGGAGGAGCACATGTCACATGGTAGACTGTAGGCTGGACCCCATGGGGGCCCCCATACTGTCCTGACCGTCCGCAGGCCAGGAAGCCTGAAGGGCAGGTGTGGACATGCACAGAACACCAACGACTCCCATCCGGATAACTGGGGTTTCAGCAGGACCCACGCTGTGCACGTGGCCCCAATTGCCATGAAATCCTGAGCTCAGGAGCACAGACAGTCAGAGGATGCCAGCTTCAAGGTGACAGGGACACCACGGCTACGGGCCCCCCAGGACAAGTGGGTATAGCTAACTGTGGCCTGGAGCCCCGCTGGCCCGGCCCGCCCCTATCTCTACACCCGCGCCCAACGGAGGCTTCTCCCCAAGGCACGCATGTCGCCCGGGGCCTTCACGGCCATGGCAGGCGCCTGCCGGGCCCTCCGTCCTGCAACGCGGAATGCAAGGACAGGTTTCTGTGACGCGGGACACAGCTGTCTATTGCTGAGAGCCGGGAAGTCACAGCCCAGCTTGTCTGTCTCCCCAGGATGTGCCGGCTGCTGGAAGCGCTCACCCACCCTTCCCTGCCGCCCCAACTTCTGGAGCGCGTCCTGTGGTGCTGGAGAGCTCACCGTCAGCCGATGCCGGCGTTATGACAATTGTAAATCACGGCAAAAGTCTAGGAAAACAAGTTTTCCTGGTCAAGTCCTGATATGTAATTATCTTCTCACCGCCGCTTCTTCTGAAACTGTCTGCTGCCGACAGGTGGAGAGAGGCCCGCCGGCTGTAGGAAGTCAGCGCCCCAGAGACGGCCCAGGCCCTCGTGTGTGTCATTTGTTCTTCTCCCAGAGACAATGGCTTTTAACCTGGGGTCTGAAAACCCTGACACTTTTGACCTGGAGCCCCTGGCTGCTGGGACAGGGTTCCTGTGCGTGGAGCCCGACTCGGGTTGAGGCCTGGGGTGGGACTCCCAGTTCCTTCATGGCCTTTCTTGGGGTGCTGTCACTGCTCCCCCAAAGGCCCGCGCCTTCCTGCTGGGGGCGGGGGCAGGGGTGGCGGGTAGAGAGGGGCTGGGGAATGACAGCCCACGCATCCTAAAGCAGAGTCTGCCGTGATGCCTGGCCCCCGTGTCCCTGTGCAGCATCCCAGGGTTGGAGCAGTGTGCCTGGCGCCCAGGACCTGCACCAGAGAACTCACGCTCAAGGGCATCCTATCTGCCAAGTTTTATCCACACACCCCAACCCCTTTCTGCTAAGCCAGTGGGAAATCAGACCTCGTTCCTGCCACAGGCAAGCGCATCAGGGTGTTAGCTCAAGACGCAGTGTTTCCTGAGAACGGCGCCCAGGCCAACACATATGGCCGAGGTCACCCCGCTTCAGGGGCGCTTTCTCATCCGAGGGCCCGGTTTTGAGGCAGCGGGGGCGGGGGCAGGATGTCTGAGCCCCGGGGCAGTTGTGCCAACAATGTGCGTTTTATAAGAACCAGAGCTTCAATTCCATTCGGCCTCCTATTTTTTTCCTCCAAGTTAGTTATCAACTGTGCGTTTCTACATTTTTAGAGGTGACATTTAAAATTCAAAGTAGGTAATGCAAAAGGGAGATATTATTCTATATTTTAAAGTTCACACGTGTACGAGTTCCTCCTGGAGGAATTTGCAAGCGTCTCACAGATAAGATCCTTGTGACGTGTAGGGCTACCTCCCTGGGACTGGTCCCTCGAGTGCCCTTGGGACCAGCATGGAGCTCACATCGGAGAGGCTGGGCTCAGTCAAGAACCCATCCTGCTCCTGTGGCCCCCAGCCTGTGATCACTGCTCACTGCTCTGCCCTACCCTCAAGAAGATGTCTCTCCTCCTGGGAAATCCGGGCTTCCTTCTTCCCATGGGCTGGCCTGGGTTCTCCGTGGAGCCTGGAGGCTGGGCGCTCTCGCCTGTGGTTTGCTTGTATTTTCCCTTTTCTTGAGGCTTAACTTCCTCTTACGTTTCATTATTATTTTAGTTGGATGTATCCTCTTTGGTATGTTCTGCAAATAAATCAACTTGGATGTTAAGAGAGAGAGACAAGAAGAAAGGGGAAGGCGGTATTATGTCAGGTGTCAGTGGTCTGATCAAGACGGGGCCATTTTGCCAGAAGGGGGCGCGTAGGAAAGTGGCCTCTTCCACCCGGGAGATGCAGACCGTCCTCGGCGTCCGCCTCCGCCTCTGTTCTGTACCGACTGAGACGGATCTCATTATTAGTCCCCGACGTCCCTTGTCTGTGTTTTTAATGATCATTGCATCTCATCGATCTGTCAGCCTTCCGTGAAAGTGTCCCAGGGGAAAGGCAGAGGCAAAAGGTAAGTAATTTATTCATTTGGAGCACAAATTACCCTAACTGGACATCACATTTGTACAGTTTGTTACATTTTTCTCTTGGCGGGGTGTGCGGGAAATAACACAGGGACTCCTGCTGGCCTGGTGTTACCTGCCTCAGGGGTTAACATTCAGGGGAGCATGGGGGTGACACAGTCTCCATTTCTGGGATGAAGGTAAGCTCATAAGATTTTAGAAATTTAAATATGAGGCTGAATGAAGAGTAGCACAGGGGAGAACTGGTGGGGTTCCGGACACATGCAGGTTCGTGCAGGTGCCTACAGATGTATGCAAGTCCTTGCAGGTGCTTGTGAGTGCTTGCAGGTGCTTGCGGGTGCTTGCAGGTGCTTGTGGGTGCTTGTAGGTGCTTGCAGGTGCTTGTAGGTGCTTGCAGGTGCGTGCAGGTGCATGCAGGTGCTTGCGGGTGCTTGCAGGTG